GAAGCAATGAGCATGAAACTGAGCCAACTCAGGGAGGCAGTGAAGGACAGGAAGGCCTGGTACGATATGGTTCATGAGGTCATGAAGAGTCGGACACGACTTAATGACTGAACAACAACAAGCCCCAGACTCTTGCTTCATGCCAGGGCTAAGCCCTATGCTATGGTTTGCAATGCCAGTGGCTTTAAGCTAAATCAAATGTGAAATCAGCCAGCCATTTTCCTTCTCTTGGAAGGAAGTGGGGGAAAGTATTCTTTCTTTCTTTGCTTCACAGCTTTCATGGTTTGCCCAAGGGAGACCCATTCTGAAGCTTCTAGTCTGAGACCCTTTCTCATCCAATGTCTTCTGCAAAGAGGCCTGCTCTTTGAAGTGGCCATCACAGAAACATGTTGGTTTTGTAGCTATGGTCGATGGGAGGCCCCCTTGGGTTCTTCTATGGACGCCAGTGTGCCTTTATCCCATGCACAGTTCTATGCTCCTTAAAGACTAGCAGATTTACTGTGACATCAGCTTGTGCAGCCAACAGCCCATTTTGTCCAACTGAGAGCAATGCTTTAAACTTTAATCTGTGCAAGCTGAGGCTGCAATAAATCTGGCACTCTTGAAGGTTCTATGCTGGCCTGCCTAATCAAGGAATCCCTTCTGGAATTGTTGTCTTTATAGGTGTCAAGAGTTACCAAACATTAAGGCCAACCTTATCATAACCAACTAAGATCATCCACAAGGTTTGGGGAGGAAGCCTTGCATGTTTCTTTGGTCATCACACCTGTGCCAAAAGAGACTCACTGGAAACACACTGGTTGAGGACTGGGCTCTGCTTGGTGGGGAGCCCTACCCATCACATTCCCAGAGCTCCAATCTTACATTTTTACTTGCTCCCCTTTCATTGCCTTCCTCTTTCTGTTCTGTTCTTCTTTGCCAAGGGCAGAGTACATTTACCGTTCAATAAACGAAGAGAGGATACTAACCCATCGTTCCTGTTTTCCCATTTCTTGAAAGCTGTGAGCCATCAGAAGCTTTTATGGCTTACACTGTGGGAAATAGCTGATTTATTTCTTCTCCTTTCCATTTTCTTTTTTAAACCTTGACTTCTCCCTGATAATCTATCGATTCTCCTTCAGTTTGGGTGAATGTTTGACTGGAATTGTAAGGTCTTCTCTTAGCTGCTGTGGAGTTCAGATAATGGCAGGGGTGTCTGCAAAGGAGGGATAAAAAAGTCAAGATTATAGCCACATAATTAGGGTCACCCTTCCCCCATGTTATGTCCCCAGGGAATATGTTTCTCTCTTTATTGGTCCCCTGTTCAAAAAGGCTACTTCACAAGTGGATTCGCCTCAGTGCCCTAAGCCCAAAGGGTTTCCTTGCTTGGGGTTTAGCATTTTGTGTGCTTTGTAAATCATCATTTATGGTTTAGTGTACAGGTCCACAACTTGAGGCCACAGGAGACATACCACAGGAGAGGAAAAATATTAATGCACTGCAAATAATCCTATTACAGTGGTACCTCTACTTACGAACGCCCCTACTTACGAATTTTTCGAGATACGATCAGCTCCAGCCCCAAAATTTACCTCTACTTATGAACTCGCCTCGACTTACGAACCGGATCCGCGACCATTTTCCTCCCGTTCCACGTGGTCCGCGGCCATTTTTCCGCCCCTGACACGTGGTCCACAGCCATTTTTCCGCCCTGCCACGTGGTCAGCGGCCATTTTTCCTCCCCTGATGCGTGGTCCGCGG